TGCATACAATGGCAATCTGCAAACTTTATCAGTTGTTGTCATCAGCCTCAGTATCTGAAAACTTACTTGGAATGCCAGAGACGAGTTTGAGGGGTCGCAGGACTCTGACTGCTCTCAATGTTCTCAGATCAAAATCAGCCCCTACAGTGGCCAGGATCCTGCATACACAACAAACAGTCAGATTCACAACCAGATGTTTCATATTCCCCTGACTCCATTAGGTTCCCAAACAAAATGACCGACATATTAATATTACAAAGACTGTGGTATACTTGTGCAGTTGCTGCTCACATTTACACCACTGCATCCTAAATGACAATGAAAGAGAAGAAATAATCACCACAACTATCTAATCATTCTTTTTGAGATTTACAAAAAACAAAAAAATGGGCATTTAAATTACAGGAGACTTTGAAAAACAACAGACATCAAGACCCATTTCACATAGCTTCACCCTGAAGTGGATAAAACAGCTGATTGCACCTTGCTGCCATCAATAGAAACAGTAACCTGAGGTTAAAGTTTCCACCTGACATTGAAAAGGTGAGGATAATTCTGATAGATCTGAGATTGTGAAGCAGAGTTTACAGAGGGGTTTTTTATGCGGTGTCATTAGATGCAACATCTGATCTGATCCCTCTGAAGTGATGTCTGGACACCCATTGCTGGACATTTTCTGATGTTTGCTCCAAACAAGAGCAGTTACACTGATCTGTAAAAGAATGTAGTAGGACAGAAGGCGGAGTTGTAGAACCAGGTCAAATTGGAGACCTTGCCAATCCAGTGTCTAAAGGGTTGTGCGTATGAACCATTTCTTGGTTTTCATTAATATATTCAGATTTTGGCTCTTTATTTAGAGCTGTGTCTTTGCTCAGTCCTCAGGAGCCCTTTCTTTTCCTACCCATCATTTGTTTGTTTTGAACAAAACAACACATACATCAGAACTCACCACACTGTTCACACATTCACTTGTGAGCAACTCTGCCAGCAATCATAAGTTATGATTTTTGCTCTTTGCTTTTATGAATAATGTTATCTGTTGTGGCAAGCTGTGGCAGTGAGTGATGTCATAGTATTGTAAACTAATTAAGAAATTGTTAATGTGATCACCAGAGTTTAAAGCCATCAGCCCTGGGTGTAAATGAGAGGCTTTCAGTGAAGAAAAAGTGATGTGCTTAGAGCATTGATTCTTGGGATGAGCAGAGCCACCCTCCCACCTCTCAGTTTGATTATTATTTCATCTTATCCACAGATGATCCCATCACACAGGTTCTGCACACCAAGGCGTTTAACCATTCCATGGTTCTGTTCTTTGACTGCTCTTCAGCTTGTAGCTCTAAAGGCTGAAAAATTGCTTTGGACCAACAAAGCCTACATCTTCTATTTGTTTCACTCAATAGGTGGCAGTAAAACCCTTTTTACTTGTTCCTTGAACTTAAAGTTAATGTTTTCTCATCAGACTGATGTTTCATAATAATATTAACCATAGGTCCGTTTGCTGCACAGTGTCGTTTCTTTCTTTTCCTTTGTAGCACAGTGTGTTTGTGTTGGTGCAGCATCAGGCAGACTGCAGGAGCGATGCATGTTATGGACCAAAGCAGACGGACAGCAAAAGGAGCAAGAGAAGGAACGAAACAGAGATATACTTAGGGAGGGGAATCCAAGGCAGAGACCATTTAGAGTGTTGCCATGGAAACAAAGGAGGCTAATCTCATTAGAAACTAACAGCCACAGGAGAAACACTGGAGAAGAGGGAGAACACAACACTTTCTCACAAATATCCCTTCAGTAGAGGTGGGTAGTAACTTAAAAAAAACAGGACTGGAAGGAGTAGTTTTACTGCGCCATACTTTGCACTTCTACTTGAGTCATGTTATTTGGATGTAATGTTTCTCTTACTTGGGTACAATTTCAGGCTGCTTAGTGAAGCTCCAGCGGCTTCACTAAATGAAGGTCAAGCACGTTTTGATCAAAAATGCTCCAGACAGAAACAGACCTACAGTTTATGTTCAAGTCTTGTTTGCACACAAGTTTCTTTGTATTAATATTATTTTGCTGAACCTGCTGTTCTGTATGCAGGCACAGTGAATTTACACTGAATATTGTCTAACATGGTTCTTCTGAATGAAATAGTTATTTTGTAGCAATGCTATTTTATTCATTTTTTAAAACACCAGAATTTGCACATTATTTTGGTCTGTGGTTATATCATATTCACAAATTTGATCGGTTGTTAACAACCATTCAGTCAGTATTTGAGCATCCTTTTAAAATTTTCTTTTGCTCTTACTTGAACTATTTTCTGGATGACTGTTTTGTACTTTTGAGTAAATATACATTGAAGTAATTGGAAGCTCATCATAAATAAAACACCATCAACAGGAAAAGAAGAAATCTTAATCATTTTTACACTTAGCTATTATAACGGTTTCAGATATGACTTAATGTTGTGTGCTCTGGATAAAAGAAGACAAACTAAGGTTCTCCGTTTCATGTTTCTAACCATGGAGCTAAATCTCAATGTGTGCTTCACAGACCACTGAGCAGGTGGAAACTGTTAGAAACACTGAACAGAATGAAACAATGCTTTCTATGACACACTCACTAAGGTCCAAGCATCTGTGATCTGCTAAAGATAAACGTTATGGGTGGATCTGATGAGACTTGACTATTAACTAGTTTCTTTTCAACAGCCATCCTAGTTCCAAGATTCCTGCCTCCAAAGCTACAGAAAGCCTCAGCTTATTGCATGAGTAATTATCACTACAGAAGGCAAAAGATAACTAAGCAAGTGTCACATGCAGCAGAAGCAAAGTGCTGGAAGCCATGCTAAAGCTAACAGACCTTAGATATAGCAAAACAATCAGAGGTGTTATTACACCAAGACAAAGCTGTGAAAGCGAAACCGAGCATTAAAAGCATATGTTGGTGCTTTAGGTATAAAAGGGTGAGCTACAATAAAATGATTTAACACTTTCAGTTTGTCAAAAGAAGGTAGAGATTTAAGCAGCAGGAGGGCACAGCAGACTGTACTGCAGATGTCAGTATGTTACCAGAGCTGTGAAGACTGGCTGACTGACATGGAACCATGGAAATGACCAATACTCAAAGCAGGCTGAAGGGTGTGGTTCATAATAGCTACATTATTATATTACTGTTGTGTTTTCAGTGAGCAATACTTAGTTTGCAAAGGAGTGTTTGTAAAGCAGGAGTTCTTGGTTAACCTAATGAATTCCCACTTCGTAAGACTTTGTAACATCCTGCTGGATGGAGTCTCACATCTCCTGTCAGAGATGACAGTGATCTCACAGAGAAAACTGAAAGAATAATTCAAATTTTCCTGTTTAAACCTAGATGACCAGATGACTGTGTGGATAGTCTGAGGTCCTTCTCACTGGTTAGGCAGCAGGCTGCCCAGGGCTCTGAGTGTTGGAGGAGGTGCTGTTTTAAAACAAATAAAATAATAATAATATTAATAATAATAATAATAATTTTGGTAATCATAACAGTAATAATGTACAGTTGTGACCAGCAACTTTTGATCATGTTCTGTGTTGTGTCGTTGACTTTACAACAATCATGTAGCAACAGTGGAGAGGAAAAGCTCCCTTTTAACAGGAAGAAATCTCCAGCAGAACCAGAACTGGACTCAGTACAACAGAGCACCTTCACATACCTTTCTTCTTATACTGTTGTACAATAAGTTCTTTTTCATGAGTCCTCTCTGCAAGGTACAGCTTCAGAACCAGGAGTAGCAGAGTGGCTCAATGGGTAGAGTAGTTGTCATGCATCAGAAGGTTGTGGGTTTGATTCCAGCTGATGTGCCCCACTGTAATGCACTTAGTCCCAATTTGGCTACCTATTGGTTTATGTGTGTCAATTAGTGAGTGTGAATGTGTAATTATACTGCTTTCAGTGGTCAGTATAGCTAGAAAAATGCTGCATAAATTGAATCCATTTTCAATTTAAATGAGCAAGTGATAAACTACTCAGTAGGGGATAAATAAATGATTGGGAGATTTCTTCAGTCATTTTGCTTTTTGTGTAATAAGCTTATGAAGCAACTGAACTATGAAACACATATAATGAAGTGTAAAATCAGCTGTTAAGCTCCAACAGAGCAGACATGTATAGCATAGCTAAAAGTGAACTTAAGCTGAAGAAGGGAACACAAAATAGTTCTCTCTCTAAACACAAAGCACAACGTTGATTGTTACAGGATGTATGCTGTTGTACTTTGGTCTCAAACCTTCTAGTTTTGTTGTCTGAATTAACCCCAGTTTTGCAGTTGACTGTGTTCGCCAAAAGCAAAGTTGTTTCTGGTTTTGGTTCAGTGGGTGGTGCAGGCTGCCTAGACAAGGCTCACAGTCATACCATTATGTCTGTGACAAAGTAAAACTGTGACTGCAGAGATAAAAGTTAACAGATGGTGAACCTTCAAAGACCAAATATTATCTTTCTTTCTTCTAACAGAACATTTTGATGAAAATATTAGAAGTAAAAAAATAGACAGCACACTGACCACAGGAACTAAACCACAAAACTTTTGTCAAATTACTTTTCCATTAATAAAGGAGCATGAAGCATGCCTCAATTTATGATGCAGGAAATGCTGTTGCACTCATAGAAAAAGGGACAGAAATGGGTTCACTTTGGTCACCAGTGACCAAGAACACACGCTCAAAAAGTTTGTTCAATGTGCTTTTTATATTTTTTGGACCATGAGGGACATATCTTGAACAAAACCTTCTCATATAAAACACACACAAAATAATCCAGATTATATTTGAACTGTACAAGATAATATTTTAGTTGTGTCTCCTGTAATAACAGACTGATTTTTTATTAAATTTAAAGTTCACTGGACTTTTATTCTAATCCAATAGATGAGCTTAGAATTTGTCAGGAAGATCAATGCAGTACTTAATGT